TTTTCAAACAATAGTGGGCCTCTTCTGGAAAGGCCTTGAGTTTTGATCTGGAGCCACCAAAGAATAAGATGGTTCAAGGCTTTGCAGTCTGTTGTGACCATCTGTTACCTCTTGCTGCTATAAGTCTCTGCCCTACAGCACTGTGGGGATCTCCTGAGCTGTTGTTGCCCCCAGGGACCCCACCTGCAGCTCCATCTGCTTCTCTGTATGGTGGTGGGTGAATCATTCAAAGCACCTGGGCTAACTCCTGCACCACTGATAGGAGGCAGAAGCCTTTCCTCATGGTGGAACCCTGATATCTGAGCCATCCTTCCTGCCACTAGGGAAGGAAGTTCTGGAGGAAGGCTACAACCTGCCAAGGGCATCCAGTTCTACATCTCTGTACAGGAGATCCAGGTGTTTTCTGAACCAATAACCCATGGTTCAGGGTGGGCTCTTGTATTTTGCTGGACTTGACAGCATTTCAGGTGGAGGACTGGGGGAGTCTGGGCTCCTCCGAGTAAAGCTTACTCTATTTGCATACCCACTTCTTATAGGTACTGCTCTTCATGGTCTCACCCTGGGGATCACCTTTCCACCTGCTCTTGCTACTCTTGCCTCCTCCTCCCAATTCTCCCTGTTGTGATGGAGGAGGACATCTGTCCCTTGGGGACCAGGTCTATCCCTGTGCCAATATGCAGCAGCTCTCCTCTGCCAGCTGGCTGGAGGGAATCCACCTGGCATTTCCACCCGGCTCTGCAGGATGCTCTCGCTCTTGGGTTTGGCTGTGCAGCTATTGGTTTGCCAATTCAGCAGACAAGCCTGCCTTCTCACTCCTCTGCCTCCCTTCTCTCACCTGGGACTGTCTAACACTCTGCCAGAGCTGCAACAGGCAGCACCATGCCTGCTGCCCCACCACGGCGTGGTGCACTGTTGAAGCCATACAGCTTAGTGCTGTCAGCCTAATAAGCTGCTTGTTATCACCTGGGGGCTCCAGGCTTCTGTGTGGGAGCAGGGACCTTCCTTAGAGGAGAAGGCCATTGGGTCAGGAAGGATGAGGTCTCTCCTGGCACCTGCCTCAGAGAAGGATGCAGGAGGTGCAGTCATTCGGGCCCGCTCCACTGTTCAGCCCATCACTCAAGCTTTCTTCTTCCTATGAGACCTCATGGCCAGGAAATAGCTCCTGCTTTCCAGCAGCACTTCTGATACTTTTTGCAGAGCCTGGGGATCTCAGTGCAAGGCTGCTCTCGCATCAGCAACAGCCGAAAGCAACACCTAAGGTGGGATTTACTGCCACATATGTGCTGAGAAGATGCAGGGACCCGCTGTGCCTGGCTGATGTATTGGATTTCAGGTTATGTGATGCACAGGTCTCCCTGAGCACTGTAATTCCCTCTTTCTTCCTGTATGGATTTATACCGCTAAGTGGATGGATTTTCTGCTTGGCAGGGATGCTCCCCTGGGACCTTCTCCAGTTTGAAACATCTCCGCACATCTGTACATAATATTCTTGGGGCACTTCAAGAGTAGGCTTTTATGACACCCCTTGTGTTTTGGACTTCTGCTTCATCCGGCCAGGCTCCACGGAGGGGCTGGCAAACAGCATCCCAGAGTGGGTGGCAAGCTGTATGCCAACTCCAGGTGCTGGGTGGTGCCCAGGGATATGTGTGAAATCCATTGCTCTCAGACGGCTTCTCATACAACTGCCCTGTGCAGCAGAAGCACTGTTCCCTTCATCCCTGGAACAGCTTGAGAGGGACCAGTTTCCTCTGCTTAATGACCTGAGGCAGTGTACCTCCGGACCAGGCGTGGAGATCCTGGGTGGAGATGAAGGCAATCTGTCTGTCTGGGATGCTTCCCCCAGGCAAGGGCTGGGCCTGATGTTTTCGTCTCTGCTAAGAAACCTTCCCCCTGCCCTGAAGAGCCATCTGCTATGGTAGATTACCCCAGCTTTTAGTGCTGTGAATCCATAATTAGTGCATAATTAATTACCAGATGTTTTTAACACTAATGAAACATTAATAAATGATGGAGGCATGTTGTCTGGTAATGGAACATTAACCAATGAACCAAGCCAGCACGTGGGGCAGCAATGCTGCTGGCATGGCTTGGCTGGAGGCAGGGCCATGTGGGACTTAGCACTCCTCACTATGGAGAAAATGAAGCAAAGTGCCTAGTGGGAGCTAGTGGCCAGCTTGGTGCTGGCTTCAGGCTTTGCAGAGCCATGGTGTGGGATGTCCCATCTGACTTCACCTCTATCCATTCATCCATCCGCCCACCCACCTTTCCATCCATCCTTCCAACCACCCACTCATTCTTCTATCCATCTTTCCACCCATACCTCCATCCATCCACCTACCCACACATGATCCATCTCCCAGCTGGAGAGATGCTGCTGGGGTACCAGGAAGATAATTTCCCTAAAAAAACCCCAAGCTTTTTGTTCCCTGGGCTGAAATGCAGCTCAGTGAGGTCTCTGCTCCAGTTGGTGCCCACAAGCAAGGTGCATGGGGAGAGCCAGACCCCGACACAGGGCTGCTTTGCCACACCACCAGATCCATGTGAGCCCCGTCCCAGTGGAAGTTTAATTCAGAGCATCTGGGCCAGTGGCATTTTCCTAACGTGAAATTCTTAATCAGACATGGAAAATGCATTGATTGGGACTATGTGTCATCTCCAGCCTCCAGGCTGCAGCGGGGCATGGGATCCCCAAGGGCCTGGGAGCAGGGACACACAGCACTTCCCCATCATGGTGCGGGTATGAGATAGGGTGGTGGTTGTCACCATCTCCTTTGTACCACCAGGGGTTTCCAGGGGTGGGCACCCCGCTTGCCCCTCTCAAGATGTCTCAGAGGCCAGTTTTTGGGTGTCCCCTCCCTCCTCCTGGGGAGATGATGCTATGGTCTCAAGCCGTGGGGCATGCTCCAGGGCGCCTGTGTCCCCTCACTGCCACACCCATGTCCTCCCCATCACAGCCAGCACCATTTGTGGGAGGGGGCAGCTGAACCCACCCACTCCAGCTGGAGGGGAAAGAACACCCAGAGCTGCCAGTCATCATGAAATGATCATTTAATGAAGAAGGTCTCTCCTGGTGTGTGCGTGCATGTGTGCATTGTCTCTGTGTGAGCTTGTTTTTATCCCCTCTATTAATTGTTCTTTTTTTGTTGTTTGTTTGTTTGTTTCTTTTTTTTTTTTCCTTTTTCTTTTTTTTATATATATACATCTATAAAAAATTCAAATACAGCATGTCAACAGTTGGAATACTAGGACGTACAGTATTAAATACTATGCATGGGTCTGGGCAGGGACAAGAGAAGGCGTCTTTACAAAACAGGGCTCGGGGGCAGGAGGGGGAGGACAGCAAAGCAGGCACAGGGGACAGCGGGGGCCAGCAGGGGACAGGGCGAGGCAGGTCTGCAGGGTTCCAGCTCTAAAGGCAACAGCAGAGCGATTCTGCTTTTGTTGGGAGAGTGAAGACAAAGCCGTCAAGGGGGTCGATTCCCTGTATCCAATATCGTTAAAAGTCTGG